GACACTCAAACACACTCAATATATATACTTTGTTGGGTCTCAGCTGAATATTTCTTGGTGTTACACACAGTATGACAAACTTATATATACCCTCTATCACCACTGATGGTGGTGGAGGGTATAAAAAAGAAACAGCTGTTTCCATACTACTTAAGTTCTCTTTGCTAAAATACTGATGGAATTTCATCCACCCTAAAATCAATATAAATAAAAACTCATTTTACGATTTTTGAAGATTTTAGTTCTAACTAGTGGTCCTGTTTGGTTTACTAGAGAACTCAAACGAACTAAGAATCTTAAAAGTAGGTTATTTAAAAAGTATATTGAAAGGCGGTCAGCAGTTAACTATGTTAGATATTTTGAATCGTAAATGCTATTCTGATGACTTTCGCCGTACGATGGAAAGGATAAATGTTGATCAAAAAAGTTTTTATAGTTTTGTGAATTCTAAATGTAAAATATGTGGATTTCCAATATCTTTGAGATTCAATAATGTTGAATTAATTGATGGACCTGGTATTTCTGATTTGTTTCTAGGAATTTATACAACTAGTACTTTCTCTAATGAATATCCATACGTTTTGGAGACTTTTACTATGGTTCGTGATTTACATATTACAGAAAATGAGGTTCTTAAAGGCCTAAGGAATTTAAAATCATCTAATTCTCCTGGTCCAGACGGAGTTCCCTCTTCTGTTCTAAAGATGTGTGTTGTTGAACTTTATATTCCACTTACAATATCATTGTCCTCCGGTCACTTTCCATCCTATTGGAAGCAGAGTTTTATTATTTCTCTATTTCAATATGGGAATCGTCGTTGTATTGGAAATTATAGAGGGATCGCTAAATTGTGTGTTATCCCGAAATTATCTGAGAAAATTGTAACTGATAGATTGATTCATATGATAGGAAATATCGTCTCTGTTGTAAAGTCTTCAAAGATATTGGTGTACTCTGATGATGTAAAATTGTTCTTATCTTTTAATAATATACTTAATTGTGGTTAGGGTTTCCATATTCCCGACGTTTTTTGATTGAACCCGGGAATTACCGATAAAATAAAAAACAAATAATTAAAAAAGTGTTTACGCGATGTTTTATTGTTTTTTTAAACATATCAGGTAACTTAGAAATATGTACATACATATATATAAAATCAGGGTTGGCAATAGTTTTGAAGCAGTGAAAAGATAAGGGTAACGGTATTTGGATTATTTTGGTAACGTTATTTTAGCGGTAATGGTAGTAAGATAAAAGGGTATTTTAAAGGTGGAAAAATTATTTAAAAATAATATAAAATAACTGTAATTCGGTAACAATATTTTAAGTTGGAAGTACACAACACGCGTTGTACGCGGCAACGCGTTATAAGCTTCCGTCAAAAAACGTTGAAATAGTGTATTTTCATTTAACAAGTTATACACTGCGTCTGCCGTGAAAAGTTCAGCAACTTTCAACTTTTGACGTGTCGGCAGCTGATCAGAGTAGTATTTTGTTTTGTGTAGAATAAAAATAAACTATAATGAAATAAATTTCACCAACAGACAAATATTAAAAAATAAACTAAATAAACGCGTAAAACGCGGTGCCGCCTCAACGCGTGTGTACTTCCATTTTTAGAGATAACGACAGTAGAGTTGAGATAGCCAAGATTTATTTAAATAAAGTAAATAAAATACTTTATTATTTTCTTTTTAAATACATACATATCGCCCCTGTTTTGAATATTAGTACTATGTGGGTTTTCAGAAAAGCAAAAAACAGGTTAATTTACCTGTATTTTTGCTATCGCGTTGCTTTAGAAAAATATGTACCTTTTCGGATTCGGTAACTAAATTAATTAATATGTATTTTGAAAAATAACCAAATTTTTTACGCGTTTTAGCGCAATTCAAAAAAAACTCCACATAGGCCTTTTTGGAAAACAGTTTTTATATTGAAATATTCTTTCCATTTTAGGTATAGATTTTAAGATTTCGGTCGAAATTTGGATTTAGGGAATTTAAGGGGTATATTTGACCAATTATAATACCATGCAACGGATAAATTAGATGACAAATAGACCAAAATGAAGGTAATATAAAAACAGGTAAACAGCATCATCTAAACAATTCTAATAAAGAAATAAAAGTCGCAATCCTAATGAGATAGTGGAAGTCAAAGGTCATATGTATCAAATATTCGCATATATATCAATTATTGTTCGTCGTACAACTTTTGATGTTATTACAACTTTTGTAGATAATACAATTTCCAATCATTTGGTAAATATTATTTTCGCGAACCATCAGATGTTTTCGAATTATTTTCTTTTCATTTTCCTTTAACTGTTTTCCCTTAATCTGTCATGTTCCTGTTTTCTGCTGACGTCCCTTATTAACTACTACAACCAATAAACTCCTGTAGTCCTGCCGATGACTATAAATTAAAAACTACCTGTTATTTAACGTTTATTCCTGTTTTCACACATTTTGCTATATTGCTGCTGATCACACTTTGTTCCAGCTTTCTGTTGACATACCTTATTAACTATTTCACCCAATTTCTTTTTTTTTTTTCAATTTGTCTCTAAGTTCCTTATGAATTCTTTAATTTCTACTTGTTTATTTATGTTTTCCATTTTGTATTTTCTATTAATTTCTATAAATTCTTCTCATTTGTAAGTTAAAACTCTTAACATTTTTACAATTAACCTTACATATACATGTAAAATATACATGTATATTTCTTTTTCAATTGCAGTAGTTTTCGTTTATAGTCATCACTGTTATACTCACATTAGTTATATTGTCAATTTAAATACATTTAAATGTCTCTGTCGATCAATTTCATACTTTATAGTCCATTTTTGATATAACCACTTTTCACATAAATATATGCCATCTACCAGTGGCTATTAAAAGTCATGTTATATGAAAAAACTTCACGATATTGTCACACACGAAATTTGTTTCTAAAAAATTTGTTTTCAAAGTCTTAGAGCAAGTGCAAATTCAAATTTTTTATTTGAAAAAAAAAAAAAATATATATACATATATAAGATACAACTGTAACCACATCCTCAAGCTAAAACAGACTAAAAATATTGATTTTTTTATATAATATAAACAATATTTTTTAATGTAATGAATTTATGAAAATAATATTTATTTCTTTAATAAACTTGAATTTTTATTTTTTTTTGTATTCACAAAAAATGAATATATATATAAGATTTTGTTGTGGTTATACAAAAAATTTTGTTTATAATCACTTTAGCGATATAGCCCTCAGTGTGTAATTAAGGGTTGTGACTATAAGCGAAAAGTACTGTATAACTCTTTTTGTCATTGTTATTATTAATTAATAATTCATTAATATTGTTACTTATATATTATTTTAACTCTATGTACCACATTTTTGATCACTGATGTCAAGCCCCTATGAAAGTCCACCCATTTTTCTCCCAATTATTCACATGAATGTTAAAGGTATTTGGGCAAAATTATTATTGGGATAGTTTGCCACTTTTTGTTATAAATATTAATGTCGATACTAAAGGCTTTCCGAAAAAATATATATAAATACGTTTTTTTGCTCATGAAATGAAACATATATTTTTGGAAAGGGCTATATCCGATGGTTAAATAAAAAATTTTATTTTTTTCCTATATGTTGAAATATTGAGATAAAGAGGTTTTCCTTTATAATCTTCCTTCAGTAGTGCTGGAAAAATATTTGTAAATGAGTATTGATTTTTGGGTAAAATTTGTTATATAAAAAATAACTATAACTCTAAATATTAAATTTTTCCTCCTAATTTAACCCGTTTTAGCATTTTCTTTCTTTATAAATAATTCATAAATTTTACGTGATAGGTTTTTTTAATATTTTTTCTGAACTTAGACGGCCGAAATAAAGATATCCATATAGATTTTATATCATGAGCAAAATCATTGTAAACTAGTGTAAAAAATAATGACCTCCTACACCAGTTAAAATATTAAAATTAGATTTATTTTTTTATAATAAAGCATTTTAGTTAAATTATACCTTACGTCCTATATATGTACATACATACATACATATTTAAAAAATAATAATTTCTTGAAAGTGACATTATATCGGGGATGGGTGAAAATGTGGACCAATCCACATAAAATTTGGTTTAGATAAAATTGATTTATCCTGAATTTCATTGCGATACTAGCCCTCTTAAGCGAATTGCGAATTGTTTAACTCATTTTCTGAAGGGGTCTTTGTATGAGGGCTAGGGCTAAATGAAGTCCGATGATTACAAAATTCGGCAAGGTCATCAAATTTAGTTATGTCTCTTTTTGTTGAGATACGAGTATATACTTAAAACATAATTATGAGCTCAAAAGCGCTATTCGGAATGTTCAGTTGTATGGGGGCTAGGTGAAATAATGAACCGACTTTAACCGTTTTCAACAAGCTTTGTCCCTGGGACAATAGAAGATAATGAATTATATTCAAAATTGCGTCCTGTAGTTTGATTACAAGGTTTACATGGGCGGACAAAGCTGAATTGATTCAGAAAATGATTCTATGTCGATTGGTATACTTTAATGTGGGTGTAGGACAAATATTATTGTGCATTACAAACATCAGCACAAACCTAATATATCCTCCCCATCTAAAGTAGTGTAGGGTATAACAACGTCAGTAAAATAGTTAAGAAAAATGCACGTCAATTCCATTTGAAAAGTGCATACTTTGGTCCTTGAGATGTGCATACTTTGAATTTTTTTAATTGTTGGCTTGTAAAATTCAAAGTGCGAATTAAGAAGTTAAGGTTACCGTACAAACATAGTATTACGACTAAAATTTTAGAAATTCCGAGAGACGTTTTGATACTGGATATGTAAGATTTCACATACTGGAATATAACACTGTAACATGTTAAAGTATTTTGCCACGGTTTTTTGTGAATTGGTGACTAATCACACACATATGTATGTACATACAACGTATTTATGTATGTACATGTACTTACGTACTCTTTCTCAAGATTTTCATTAAAGTTGATTGTTGTTGATTCTGGATTATTAGTACTCGTAATATTATCAACCACAAACTGATCGCCATTACAAGATAATATCATTAAATTCATACTTATTATTACAGAAAACATACTTGTTACTTTAAAAATAGTCATATTTAGGATTTTTTTTAATTATTGATATGTAATATGTAAGTAAACAATATTATCAAATTTTGCATTCCAAATAAATAATATTTCAATATTTTTTATGTTACTTATTATTTTATTTTCTATTATTCACTGTTATATTCTGTTATTTATGCGTAATTTATTACAAACATTTCGTTTTGTATTAGTAACAAAATAAATTAAATATTTTAGACCGATTCGATGAACACATTGTATGTTTATGACACAAATTAGATATTACACTAAGGTGGAATTTGCTTATCTTTCTGATGAATAATTGAACGGAATACATGGCAGATAAGATAATATTTCAAAATATATATTTATATACGTATGTATAATACTGTTATTTTATCAGTAGTAACCCGATTTAACATTTTTGAGAAAATGTGCATTACTTTAACATTTTCTCTAAAAATACTCAAGCTAACGAGACAGTATTTTTATTGTTTTATGATAACATATACATTAGAGTGTCCCGAGGAACAGTCTTTTAAAGAATTTCATGTAGGAATACTTCTCAGTCGATGCGTATAAAGAACACGAGAAAAATAAAAAATATTTTTTCGAATGGTCCTCAGTTCCCTACCAGCGATTGAAAATCCTGACCTCAGTATAATTTGTGAGTTTTGAGCTGATTACGGGAAAAATAATATTAAAATTTTTGTAGAGTATTTTTGGTCCACAACATGATTTTTAGTGGGTTGTTGTTATGTTTGAAACGCACGCATTTAAGGATTGATTGAGACTGACTTTATTTATAAAAGAATAGATAAACTAAACTCCAATGACATAGTTGTATTAAAAGGGGTTAACAACATAGTTGCAATATTAATTAATAAAGTACATTTTAAATAAATCAGTAATATATAACAATACTCGTCCTTAAGAAAATTTAAATCTATGAAAGAAATAATAATTAAAATAATAGGCACTTATTTAATTTTTTCATTAAAAAAATGATTAATATCAACGAAATCTCTCAGGCGAATAACGACATACTCCCTTTCTCATCCTGGCACTTCGACGAAGTTCCTGTTGAGGTGTGTTCACTGTTCTATCTACTGGAGTTCTAACCTCCGGCTCTTGGCTTACAGCTGCCGGCTCACTAGGCTCTTGTGGTTGGTTTTGTACAGAATCCGAAAGTTCACCTGATAACGATAAGTATGAATAATCATTACTTAGATCATTTTGAGATTTTACTTGTGAAATTTTTGGATAATCTGGGTTTAATCTGATTTATGTGACGTCTACAGTCACCCATTTCAGTGCTAACGTTATATATCATTCTGCCCATTTGATGTTTTATGATTCCTGGAATCCACTGCTTTCCTTTGCCATAATAGCGAATGTAAACTTGTTGGTTTTGTTGGAATTTTGTGGCATACTTATGTTGTGAGGTTTTCTTCTTATCCAATAGCTAAGACCAAACTGTACGAACGGGCCTACCTCTTATTAACTCTATAGGGGATTTGCCATCTACATTAGGCATAAAACAATATGTCGACAGGAATTTAAATACTGCTTCTTTAATTGACATATTGTCATCAATATTCTTGCGCACAGACGTTTTAAATGTTCTAACAAATCTAACAGCTAAGCCGTTAGATGCGGGTTGGAATGGGGCTGTTGTAATATGTTGTACATCAAGGTTTTTACAAAAATTTTGAAAAGTAGCAGACGTTAGTTGCGGATCATTATTGCTGACAATGGTGTCAGGGATACCTTCCATTGAAAATATAGTTGACAGGGCTGCAACTGTATCCTCTGATGTTGTACTTGACATTGACGAAACGTAGGGAAATTGTGAAAACGAATCGACACATATAAGCCACATGGAATTAAATATCGGTCCCGCAAAGTCGATATGTACTCGTGACCAAGGTTAATTTGATGCAGGCCAACTTTGGTATTCTTTTGGTGGTGAAAACGCTTTACTCCAAATACTATTGCCAGTCCTTCTTTTTCAATTTGACTATACTTAACTTGGCGTTGATCTAGAGTTTTTGAGGCGAAAGCAATTGGCATTTCAGATCCATCGGGATACAGGTGTGATATTACCGCGCCTATTGCAAAAGGTGAAGCAACGGTATCGAGAACTAAGGGTAATGTATCCTGAAAATGTGCTAATTGTGTTGCATTTACAATGTGGTTTTTCAGTTGAAGAAACGCCTTTCCTTCTTAACATATTGATTGGCGCAGCCAAATTCGAAAAGTTTGGCACGAAACTGTGGTAATAATTTACTTTACCCATGAAAGCTTCTAATTCCTTAATATTACTAACGGGTTTTAAATTTTTAACTGCACGTACACCGGATTCTTCTGGCAAAATTTCATTGGAACTAATCTGACAGCCCAGATATTGGCATTTTAAAAATTGGCATTTTTCTTTTTACATTTAATGCCATTAGATTTTAAAATCACTAAGATTTTTTCAAGGAGTTCAAAATGTTTTTCTATTGTTGGTGCTGATATTATAATATCATCCAGATAATTCCCACAACCTTCTATACCAGTAAGAAGTTATTTTTGAAAAAATTGCTGGCGCACTTGCAACTCCATACGACAACCTTTGATATTGAAACAGACCGGCCGGGGTATTAATTACCATTATTTTCTTTGATTCATCATCTAATTGCATCTGTAGATATGCATCTTTGAGGTCGATCGTAGAAAAGTATTTACCATTGCGAATAATGTGCAGTAAATTAACACGAGTTGGCAAGGGATATTGTTCAATATCAATCTGTGCATTAACAGCTACCTTAAAGTCTCCGCATATACTCACTAAATTTCACAGGTTTTAAAATACCTTCATTAATAAGCCTTTCAATTTCCAGCTTAAATTGTAGCATTTGAGCATATCGCAAACCCAGTACAAAAGTGACACAACTCAAAAATTTTTTTTAAGAAACGGAAACAAATTTTTTACAAATTCTAAAAAGATAAAGAAAGAGATAACGTTTTTTTCTTGAACAGTTAACAACAACAAAATACACTATTATTTTTGTAGAGTTAAACTAGTATCTTGTGTATAGTTTAAGGCTTAAAGAATATAAAAACACAAAAATAAAATTTTGAGTTGTGTCACTTTTGTACTAGGTGTGCGATATGGTATTTGTCTAGTTTTAAAAAATCTGGTTTGGGCATCGGATTTTAGACGGATATTTGCTTTAAAATGTTTTATTACACCCAGAGCCGGTTCAAAAATATATTTGTATTTGGCAAGTAAATCGTTAATTGTTTTACTAAATATAACAGAAACAGCATTAATAGTCTTTATTTGTTGAATTTCAAAACCAAATTTTCTAAACAGAACATAACCAAAAAGATTGTCTCCAACTTCTGTATTTACAACAACAATAACAACGTTTTTCCGCTGTCCGCCGCACTTGACTATTGTATGAATTTCACCCAACACTGGTATTTCTTTTTTACCGAAGTTTGTTTGTATCAATTTTGGTCTGTTTAGTTTTCTGTACGTTTTCAAGGTTATAATAGAAATGGAAGCACCGGAATCAATTTGAAAATTTTCAATTTGATTAAAAATCTCCAGTTCTATAAAACTTTTTGAGTCTTTATTTTTTACTACACCGGTTACATCAAAAATTGTTTCAATTATGTCAATATCTCTTCTATTATAATTTCTCTTGTTTCTTTTGTTGGTATTTATATTTTCTGACATACAGACGAGCGAAATATGTCCCTTTTTACCACACTTGTTACAGGTCGCGAACCTAAATTTGCAATTTTCTCTTTTGTGTGAGACAAAACAGCCCGAACAAGATTTAAACAAATTTTGTTTCACGTTGTTTTTATGAGTTTGTAAATTGTGTTTGGTAACTGCGTTCACTTGTATAGATTCATCGTTTATATTCTCTTTAATAACAGCTACTGTTTTTGTTGTTGACTCGAACGACTCTGCTATGAGTAAAACATCTGCCAGCGTTGCTTGCTGCTTCTGTAAAGATGCTACTCTGACTGCATCATGAGGTGTATGGACAATTATGTGATCACGTATCATGTCGTCAACGAAACTTGCTGAGCCTGCTTCGGAACTGCAAATAAACTTACACTCTCTTGCAAGACCGCACAGGTCTGCAACCCACTCTTTGTATGTTTGATTGTTTCTCATTTCTTTTTTAAAGAATTCATATCGAGCAGCAACAATGTGATGTGAGACTTTAAAATGTTCCGTTAGCTTTTCCGTTAACGTGCTAAATGTTTGCAGTTCAAGATTTGAGGAACCAAATAAATTTTTTAACAAGTCAAACATTTCAGTTCTTATCCACGATAAAAAAAATGATTTTTGTTTTTCTGGAGATGACACTGTGTTCGCTAAAAAATGTTGTTTTAACTGCTGCAAGTATGAGTCCCAATTTTGGCGATCCTTGTCGAAACTATGAAAAGCTGGCACCATTTGCTGGTCCATATTTCCTGAAGAACTTGGTCCAGGGAAATTTTGCATGAACGACTGCATCCAGACCTGCTGTTGTTTTAGTAAATTCCTACTGTTGCTTTAAAAGTTCTTGCATTTCGGCCATGTTGCTGTTTATATATATATTTTTTTACACACATACATACATATATACACGAACTAATTTAAAGTTCTGTTTAATATTAATTAATAAAGTACATTTTAAATAAATCAATAATATAGTATAACAGTTGTAGAGGCTTATTATTTTCGCTTTTTATCGAAATAGGTGTCAAAATTGTCTTAACTTTTAGTTTATACAGAAAAATATTTAAAAAATAGTTTGGCATTTGTTTTGGTCTATTTCAGAATTTTTTAGATTATTTTGAAATTTATATAACACTTATAATACACTAAAAGTAATTTTGCGGACCGAGAATAGTCAAACAAAATTTTTAATTATTTTTCCCGCGATAAGCTCAAACTTACGGAATTTTTGAGACTCATTTCGAAAAGTTTGTAGACAATTTTTTTAACATGTTGTACTGAGATCAAGATTTTCAATCGCTGGTAGGGAACTGAAGAACTTTTCCAAAAATTGTTTTTTATTTTTCTCGTACCTTTAAAAGGTAGGGAGCTCGAGGCAGTTAACCTGACAAACGCAAAACTATTCGACGCAACAAAAGCTGAACTAAAAATATGGGTGAGAGAATCCCATAAGGCCTCTTGGAATAATGAAACAGTGGGTAGAACCACGAAGATCCTATGGGGTGACCCTGATGAGAGCAAGACGAAAAATCTCCTCAAAATGAGCAAGTCTGAAGT